GCCCTGCCATCTGCCCCTTCCCGGCCTCTTCCCCACCAGGGAGGAGATGAGATCCCCGCCAAGGCCTCCTGGTGCCCCCCACTCTCCCATGGGGGCACAGACAGTATGTCTGGGGCGGGGGGGGCATCTTGCAGAGGGGATGTTTCAGGGGGGGACAGCCTGCGTTCGTGTCTGTGTCCAGTGTGAGTCTCGTGGTGACGTGATGGACCGATGGGGGAGCACAGCTCCCCCAAGGCCTCCCCCCTCCCCTCGACGTGACCCCCCCACCCCCGGACACAGAGTTGGCACCCTGGTTGGACGCTATGGGGGCAGGGACAGGACAATGCCCCTCCCCCCCAAATGTGAGCCATATTGGGGGGATACGTTGGAAATCCCCCCGGTCCCCAGCTCCTTCTCTTAGGACTCACCTGGAGCACGGGCTGGGGGGGGGGGTCGGTTGCCTTGACCCCTCCCACCCGCCCCCAACGGACTCGCCCCCAGCCCCACAGCGAGGTGCCCCCCTCGGGGTCGGTGCCTGGGACCATCGCCATGCAGGGGGGACCCCAAGTGCCCCCCCTCACCCCCCTTCAGTGCCACCATCGCCGGGCAGGAGGGACATCCCCCCTAGCCTTTGCCAACCCCTGCAGCAGGATGGGGGGACACCAGCCCCACTGCCCCCCCCGGGAATGGGGAGGCTACCCAGCACCCCACTGTGGGGGGGTCCCCAGTGCCCCCGAGCACCCGCCACTATCCTCCCAGAGTCCGGGGTTTTCGCCCTCCCTGGGAGGAGAGGGGGGGGGGAAACACACGAGGGTCCCCCTCCAGGGTGGGGCAATGCCGTCATCCCCCCCCCAACTGTAAATACCCCCCCCCTCCAAATCACAGTATTTCTCTGGGGCTGGGACACCCCCCACCACTGGCCACCCCCAGCTGGGTCGTGGGTCCCACCCCCTCGGTCCAGGGGGGAACCCCTTTATTTTTCATTTCTATTTTGCCCGCCCCCAAGTACCGAGTCTCCGACAGTAACTGGATGTGGGGGCAACTGGGAGCCAGAGCTGGTTATACTGGGAGTGGGAGGCGTGGGGGGGGGGCACGCGGGGCAGGGGAGGGGGATGGGGGGTCCGACTGGATTGGGGCCACTTGGGGGGGGGGTATTTAAGGGGAGGGTCGGGGAGCGCGAGCCCCGGGGGGGGCGGGGTTATTTAATCTCACACGTGTACCTGTGGGTGTATATACTATATATAATGTACCTATGTATGTACTGGTCCTCGTTTTGTAACGCAGCGTCCGCAGCCCCCCCACCCCATAAACGCGGCCCCGGCCTCCCCCCGCCTCCTTCTGCCCGCGGATGGGTCTGGGGAGGGACAGCTGGGGGGGGCGATGGGTGAGACTGGGAAGGATGGAGGGAATAGAGAAGACTGGGAGTGATTGGGGTCATGGGGAGAAGTGGGAAGGGTGGGGGATCGAGGAGGCTGGGAGTGCACTGGAAGGAGTGGGAAGAATTGGAGGGGAGTGGGCAGGATGAGGGGGTACTGGGAGGAGTGGGAGGGATTGGGGCGAACTGAGGGGATGGGCAGGATAGGGGCACTGAGAGAAATGCGAGGGATTGGGGGGAAGTAGGGGAAGTGGGAAGAATTGGAAGGGAGTGGGTAGCATGGGAGGGCGCTGGGAGGAACGGGAAAGACTGGAGGGCACTGGGAGGAATGGAAAGAACTGGGGCCGGCGGCACTGGGAGGAGTGAGTAGCATGTGGGGGACATTGCCATGGGTGAGGGGCACTTCGGGGCACTGTGAAGGATGGGAGACACTGGGCACGATGGGGTTCACCGGTGAGTGGGTGCCCGGTGTCCCCCTGCCCGGCCGGTCGCTGTCCGTTCAGCACCGCCGTGTGTGCGCGTCGGTCCGTCCGTGCCCAGTGTCCAGCGTCCCCCCGGTGCCCCCCCGTCGCTGTCCCTTCAGCACTCCCGTGTGTGCGTCTGTCCCCCCATGCCCGGTACCCCTCCTCAGAGCCCCCGCGTCCCTGTCCGGTCAGCACCCCCGCATGCCCCCCCTCACCCCGTGCCCAGTGCCCTCCCAGTGCCACCCGTCGTTATCCGTTCAGCATCCCCGTGTATCCCCCCCCCACACCCCCCTCCCTGTGCCCCCCCCGTCTCTGTCCGTTCAGCACCGGCCCCGCTCCGGGCGGGGCTGACCCCGCCCCCCCGCCGCCGCCGTTTCC